AAATGCTCAGTAGGACTAATGTGTTTTTGAGATAACATTTTTTCGGGTCTTTGGCATCGGGACCATTTGCCTTTTAGATTTCTAGCTTCGTAACTCATAATAATATTATGAATAAGAATATAAAATAAATTATGAAAATAATACAAATAATATAAAGATAAAAAAAATCACATGTTCAAATTGTATCATAAATCTAGGATAATCGTAAAAATTATATTTTTGGAGGATATACCAGTGGAGGACAATGGTCAATATTTAGACAATTGTGTAAATTTAATATAATTACATATTAACTAACTATTACTTAAATAATTAATTTTGTTCATTGTTTGTTTAAAGTATTGCAAGTTGCTGAATCAAAATTTAAAAACCCCTACATTTTCAATTTATCGCACTTAACTTGTTAGCTTTCTTTTAGTGTTTTTACTAATTTATAAGAAATAGAAATCTTCTTATATTATTTATGATTTATGATTTGCAAAACCAATTTTTTTTGCAAAATAATAGCTGATTCTTAAAAATAAGTCCTGTTATCAACAAATTGATATATCAAAAAATCTCTCAATGAATGAAAAAAAGTTGCAACCTACCGACATTATATTGATTATTTTTTTAAAAAATTTATAGCGAAAAACAGATTATTTTTTTCCATAACCGTCATTAGCGGAAAAATAAATTAGATGGCCTAAGCAAAAAAAAATTAAAAAATAAATAATACACCTGGCCTGAAAAAAGTCAACCAGAAATTGGAAGCTAAAGAATAAAAAAGTCACATCCCGCATCCGTCTAAAAGTAAAAATAAAAATACTTTGATAAAAAATAAAAAAATTACCTATATAGAGAAATAGTTCACTCAAAAAAAAAACATAATAATAAAAGTTTAATCCTATTCGCTATTCATAAAACTCCCAGTGGAACCTAAAAAAAAGAAAAGGGTGCAAGATTTGAAAATTATAATCGATTGGTCGTTTCGTCCCAATGCGACTGAACATAAAAAAAGAAAATAAATATGAAATGTTAATAAATTAATAATTTCTTATCTTAGCCGTCCGATCAGAATAGAAACCTAAAGTAAACCTTAAGCAAAAAAAATTAATAAATAAATAAAACAAGAAAAAAAACAAACTGATTCAGCTGAAATTTGCACCAACTATTTGAAGCAAAAGAAAGTGGCGCAAGTTTTCTGTTCATTTACTTCAGCTCATTTTTGTTTTAACTGAAATCATAGTTAGAATTTCACGATATGCTAATATTTTTTTTTAAAAAAATTTCGTAGCTGAAGACTACAAGAAGATTAAAATTCTCAATTGTTATATAAAAGATCAGGCTTTTTTGCTTTTGAATAAACTATTTGTTTTATCTTGTAATGTTTAATAGTTGTTATTTTATTCATATTGTAAATAATGGGGACTTAAATCTTGGAACAAATTTAATTTAGTAAATATTTAATATTTATTTTATGTACGTTACCAAAGTTGCACTTTCTAAATTTAAAATATTTACTATTTATATTATTCGCAATAAACACAATTATTATGTAAATTTTAATATGAAAATAATATATGCAATAAGGTAAGGAGTGGTGAAGGTAAAAAGTTTGTTTTTGCACGTATCATTTAAAATGTTACACAAGACGATCTTTGACTATTTCGCCTCCTATAACGAATAGAAATGCAAATTGAATAAAATAAAGATTTTTTTGAAAGAAATAAAGGGGAATCAATTTATTAAATAAAAGTTTGAAACAATACAATAAATGCAACTATTACTGCCTCTGCCGATGCTACGTAATAGGGTTAAAGAAAAAAGAAGACTATCTAATTCTAATCTAAAAATCCAACGCGAAAAATCCTCCTTTTTATAAAACTATTTCTTTCTAGGGCTTAGTTACGGAATTCTTGGTAGGATCACTATTCCTTTCAGCTTGTTTGACGGAAATTTTTATTAATCGCTTTGATATGTCAAAAACGGTTATTTTGACATATACTGTACATTCCATCATAACAAGAAGTCCTAACTTGCAGAAAAGTCAAAAAAGTCAATTCCAACAGATAACAGCAAATGATCCAATTTTGAGCGCAGTCAAAGATTTATGTCATCAGTTAGAATTAACACTTTGGACCTTTCTGGTCATTCAAATCCAATGGACTGATGGAAAATACAATATATGACAAATTGGTCATTTTTGACATTAGGGATCAATTAAAATGTCTATCCATTATTCACCTGGAAACTAAGGTAACGAACGATAATATAGTATTCCGGAGTACTTTATCAAGGGAATATATCACTAATAACACTTTATTTATTATAAATTGTGTAGATTAATTAATACAAGCAGAGCCTATATGAAGACAAGATGAAGGTTTGAAAGTGTAAAAGTATTATTATTATTTTATAAGTATTTCTATTACTAAAACTTGCAACAATCTTTTTTGTTGTAATTAATTTTCTAGTATATATATACTAATTCATGGACTATGCATTTACGCAATAACAACAATAAAAATTAAGCAATACACATGTAGAATATAAAATAAACTATATAAATGAAATGTTTAAGTCTACAAAATATAACTCTAAAATCAACATATATAATTTTTACATCATTCGTTGCAGTATCAAAATTCAACCGCAGTTCGTTAACACTGTCATTAATCTGCATATTTTTTGTAGCAAATCCATGGGAAGGAAATTTATAAAATATTTCAATTTGCTCGTAGTTTTCGTTAGGATTGAACAAAATTGAATTAGATAGTTCTATGTTTCCTAAGACTATTACAAAGCGCTAGCTGATCATTAAGTTGATTAAATTATATCTATTAATAATCTTATTTCTTTTTCATCCTTTAAACTCAAAAAATACATCTTTTGTTAAGATCTACCAAACTATAGGTTTGGCTTATAATATTTATCATGAATTACAAGAACAATTCGATCATTACTAGACACTCTTCTAATATATAGAAACGTTTGACGAAGGGATTATGAACCGAAAATTTTGAATACATAAACCCTGGTTCATTGCTTTATCGTGGCCAGGTTATTTAAGAGAAGAAGTTTGTTTAGACAAATATGTTAGCAATGTAAATAGTTGATGTGTGGTGTGGACAATAGATTGACTTTATGAAGTTGCTCAAGAAAGTCAAGGATGTCTATTGTTTGGTTATAAAGCCGTAATAACTATTGTTTGAAAGCATCAAAAATAATGGCTCCGAATTATTGAATAAAAATCACGTTTATGTTGCTAATTTATTGTTGAATTGATAAAAAAGCTTTCGAACTATTTCCTAACGTCATTGGAGAAATCAAGAAGTAAATTTTTTTTTGCATGTGATGTGCGAAAGTATATTAAACGTGATTTATTTTTAAAACAATAATAAATAATAGGTTAGGTATGTTAGACGAGTGTGCAAAAATGAAACATTAAAACAAGATCTTGAAGAGATGGAATATGGAAGATAATAGGGACTTTAATTAACTGATGAAGCCAACCTTTTGAAATCAATCAAATTATTTTAGCAAACTTCAAATTTTGGCAGCTAGCTCAAGCCATACGAATCAAGAATTAAAAGAAATCCTTAAATTTGTTTACATTGATAATGACTTTGATAAAGCAAAAATTTAAAGATGGTTCAACTAATAATATAATTAAATTCTTAAACTTGTAACAGTAACGCCATCAACTGCTGCCATATCTGCGATGTTGACTATATAAATTCATATTTGGCCCGCTCCTTGAATTTGGTTAATTTTGGCTTCCATTTTTCCCCCTCCTTAATTCGTTTAATAATGTTAGGTCATGTATCATATATTTTGGATATTTGAATAGATTAATACGTATAATTCCCGAATATGACAATCTAAAATCTCAGTATACTAAAAGATGACATCGACGAAAATGCTTTTCTTACTGCTACGGTACATCTTTTGCGTAATATCATGTGTTACATTTGCGAAATAATATTTTTCTTTTTAATTATTTTATTTTCTAGAGAGCTTTAGAATTTTTGAAATGTCATATTCAAATTTCGGGAGAGTGTACCTCAAACATCAATGCGCCACTCACTTCAGTCCATTAGGAGCAAAATCAACAAAACAAGATCTCATTAATGAGTTCGTGAGTTTGAAAATCTCTTAAATAAGTTATAACCGTACTACAATCCATATAGAAAGATAAGACCCTGTTTAGTGAATCCTTTTTTCGCCTTGCGAAATAAAACAAAAATCAAACGAAAAAATAAATTAATCTTATTATTTCTATCATCAATATCATTGATCGAACAAATTAGTATATTCCACAATTCTAGATTTAAGTCAGTTATCAAAATGTTAATAAAATTTTTCGGATAAAAAGATGCTCAAAGTCTAAGCGGGTCGTGTATGTTAATGTAACAATACTTGATCCTTTCTGAATATTTGATTTTTGCAAGGAAAATCATGATGATGATTACATGTATGAATGGCGTCTTACGATAAAAAAATTTCTTGAATATGATGCGGACAAGGAAGTTTTAATCAGAAATATGGGTAGTGCTCTAAGAAAATCAGGTTCCGAGAAAATTTTGAATAAAATTAATATCTTGTTGCATTTTAGTTTAAATGTAAAAATTAAAATGCAATTAAAATCTTCTTAGACAAACCATATTATTAAACAATTAATTTGATGCTTGGATTGTGTGCATGATTATGAGAGATAAGTAAAGTTAGTCGTTGTTCACGGTACTTTAATTTAATACATTCAATCTTCCTTTGTGAGGATTTCATGAGGTTTATATCGTAAAGAAGTTGCTAATAATTCTTTTGTCTTTATCCGCAAGTATTGACTCATATATGAAATAAGCAGAATTTCATGATGCGATAGTATTATATGGATGATGGTTATAGAATTCGAGATCTAAGGTAAATCGGATATTCTTGTTGTTAAAATAATACACTGTAAGTCCTGTAACAATTCGCAAAAATTAAAAAATAAAAGTCATGTCGTATAGATTTGACAAATGTCAGAAATGACAGAATTCGATCATAGCGATTTAATTAGACGCAATGAATTTCAAAGAGTGAAATATCAAGAAAATTTAAAAACGTGTTGCGCGGATGGAATATTAAGAGGTTGGAACCTGTAGATTTGTAGCTTTTAAGAACTAGATATGGAGGTATAATAAAATTAATAATTACCGCAGTATGTAATGTAGGGATGGCGGTTTAAAAAATTTATGAACTGCAGTTTGATTAAACCGGTTCAAGCCGATGATGGTTAAAACTAACTAGTTCTAAAACGGAAATTTTATTGTTAAACTTTTAAGGAATGATGATCAAGGAGATTTTAATAAATTAGGAATTACTAGTTTTAATACAAGAAATTTTGCTTAATTATAATATATTTTTTTCCCATTGTTTTTCTTGAATCTCTCGTAACAATTACATAGTGAACTAAGAAATCGAACCGAACCGAACCGAACTCATCCCTAGCAGTATGCGCGATCATTTGATTTATGTTCGGAAAATATTTTCCGTTGATCCAGATTTGGTCATTACAGAAAAGTCTTTTTTTTTAAAAAAAAAATGGATGTAAATGAAGCTCAAGACTTAATAGAATCTAAATTCAACAAATTAAATATCTCAGAAAATAACAAATGTTCTTATTGCGATAAAACATTTACAGAGAAATTATGAAAGAATGTGACCTTTGTGAAGGATGGACTAGCGGAAATTCTTATATTGATAAATTCATTAAAGATACATTGAATAATGCAAATACAAAAAAAATGAAAGATATCAATATCAATCTCCAAGATTTCATGAATGGGTGCCTTTTGAGAGATTCACAGATATAAAAGAAATTGGTGAAGGAGGATTCGCCAAAGTGTATTCTGCAACATGGATCGATGGTGCATCGAAATTTGAAAAACAAGATGATGGAAGTTGGAAAAAATATGATCCTGAAACTATGAAGGTTGCTTTGAAAAGGTTAAATGGATCTCAAAATATGTCAGCCAATTATTTTAATGAGGTATTTACATTCACATTTGATATTTTATATAGAATATTTCTAATTTTCTTAATTTTTTAAATTTTTTATTAAAAAATGGCTTAAAGTTCATTAGAATATTTATAATAAAAAATATAATTCATTAGAGTTTTATGGAATAACTAACCAAAAAATTTATTATGATCGTGCAATTTTTATGTAACGGAAATTTGAGAAATACTCTTTCAAATAATTTTAACAATATTTTATGGAAAGAAAAAATTACTAAATTATATGGTATTACTACTGACCTTACTACTTTACGAGAATTAGGATATTGTCATAAAGATTTTCATAGTGGAAACATCTTGCAAGATGAACGAGATTCTTACGTTTCAGATTTCATAATTTTGATGACAAACTTATTGAACGCATCGTTAAAATTAGTTCCAAACTCAGGAGATTCAGAATCTGCAAAATTAGGATCGGTTCCAGAATCGCGAGTGACTTATTTTGAAAATTATAGGGTGCTTCCTTATATAGCTCCGGAAATTTAACACCAACATACATATAAAGTTTGGGAATGATCATGTGGGCTCTATCCGCTATTTTTCGTCCATGGGGCAATTGGATACATGCCCTTAATATAACCTACGAAAATTTGCTCTGGTCTTCATCCAGAAACCAAATAACGATATTACATTAATGAAACAATGCTTTGATCCTAATCCTTCGAAGCGGCCAACTGTTTTGCAATTAATAGATACGCTTGAAATTTGGAATCAAGCTTATTCTGATTAATCTTAAATTTTAATTCTTATCATTGGATAAGATTCCAATTTTTTATAATTCGGTACTTATAGTCAACAAGATTTGAAGAATTATATAAAAGAAGTCTTCCATATTTCCTCAATTAATTAATTTAAAAAATATAAAAAAAAAAAATATTTCTTAATGTTTTATATATGAAATTAATTCATAATATTTCATCAAATTTATTACTTGGAAGTTTTATTTTTAATATGTAATCACAGAATCATGGTAATGGAATTAGGTATCATAATGCAAGCATGTTATATATTTAATTTTTAAATATATATACCCTTATTTAAATACTATACGAAACCCGAAACCTATTCATCACATAACAATGCAGCAATATATGTCACATAACTTTCATAACGTGGGCCATCATGGGGTGGGACAATTGATTTTTGGGATTTTATACGGTGTTAGTGATAGTCTAGTTATGACGCATTAGTACTGCGCCAATTACAATTAGCGAATGATGATCCCGACGATCATGGATCTCAACTTTCTCTAATTTCTATAATTTCTATCATTTCTCTAATTTCTTAGCGATCTTAGCGATC